GCTTTTTAACAAGCTTTAAATGCTTGTTAACTGAGACTTGTTACTTGTCCTCATTATATTTCATCATCATGGCTACCTAACGGCCATAGCTAAAGTATATGGGCTTTRTGTTCACTTCCAGAAACAGTAAGTGCTTTTGACTATCTTCAGAAATATGTGGAGTTCCTTAAGGAAGGAGYAAGAGACCATTTGTTTGAACCTGGAAGTGACGAGCAGAACCAAGAGGCTCATGCTGGCACGGACTGGCTTGGGAAGAAGCATGATATGTAAGTACAGTGGGTGACCAGATTAAAAATAACTCTGTGTTTAACACTGTTTAACAACATGTGGGCATAAGGAATTAAATCTGTTGTAGCCTGGGGAWCTGTGACTCTCCCGATGGGGAAGGCAAGAAGGCAAGAATGGGTGGCCAGAGCTAATCTATGGTGACCACCTGCTTCCAACAGTGCAGCASTTCTCTTGGGGGAAGGAAAAAAAAAAAGCATATCTGGTCATTCAGGATCCCTAAAAAAATAGTGCCGGTAGTCTAGAAGTAGACTTGATCCCTATGGATTCTTGTCTGAAGTCCTTGTCTTTCATCAGCCTAAATTCTTGAGTTCTTCACTGCCAAAAAGAAGAAAACTTTTTTTTTTTTCCCCCCCAATTAATTGCTCTATGCAAACAACAGGGCCACATCATTTACTTCCAGCTTCAACCAGTAACCTGTTCTGAAAGCTTTGGGTTGTATTAGTGATTTTTTAAGCCACCAAGCTCCATTCCATCAACAAGTGTTTTATGAGATAGCTGAGCAGGAGCACTGAAATCCTCTAGGGAACATTAAATACTAAACGTATAATCTGAGACATTAATGCAAGCAGTAAATCTAAACAGTTATTAATTAAATGTCCAAGTGATGGATTTAAAAAAATAAAATCAGGAAGGAGAAAATGGAGAAAGATATACATGCATCTCTCTTCTTAGTAGAAAATATTAAATTTAATCTCTGTTCTCTCTTGGTGCTGTAGAAAAAATGCAGACTTGACTCCATAAACTTTCCGAGACAGATGCTGGCTGAAGGAAGGGGACATCTTTGTCCAGGGCACTTGCACTGGTATGCACTTCAGCTTTGCAAAGGCAGAATTGCCCTACATCCTGAGTGAATTTCACCATTAACAAATGGCTAGTAATTTAAGAAGAACATTTTTCATATGGATCTTTTCTTCTACAAAAAGTTAGATTTTAAAGTATTTCTTTACTACAACATTCTCATTTAATGGTGAAAATTAGAGACTATTTTGTTGAACTGTTTTTTGGGGGTTGGAAGGTGTGTGACATGACTGAAAAGAATTAGCTCTTCCTGTAACAATTACAGAAATTTTCACAGAATAGGAGTCAACCTGAATTCTCTCTAAGAGAATTATAGACAGCTGGGCCAATATTGGGAAAAGCTGAAAATAAATATATCATCTAAATTTTAAACAGATTTCCCCTTACCCCCCTTTTTATTCTTCCCACCCACAAATATCTTGGCAGACAAATTTTGAGTGCTTSCCGAAAGAGCAGTTTCTTAACTCCGTTACACAAAGTAGTCACGGCAGCTGTKGTGAGCGTCAGGCATCTTAGAATCTTGACTCCTCACTGACTGTGCTAACAGCTCAGAGGAAAGAGCTAATAGGTCCAAAACAGGAAACGGTGGCATGTTGCATCTTGTCCTTGAGACAACGCAGGGTGCTGGACCACAAATGGAGTCTGTGGTCCATCACAGGCAATGACTCAAAGTCATGAAAGTATTCAGGAAAGTTATAACCTGTTTTAAGCACGGAGGAAAAAAAAAAGTCGGAAATTGAAAGTTATTCCCATCTAACCGCAACTGTAGRCAGGTATACACAGATCTCACTTCATTGAGTGGATTCCCTCTAGCAGTTTCCACATGATTTTAAGTTTAAATTTAGTTGCAAGTCAGTGTGTTAACAACAGCCTGGAAATCACCTATCTACCCAGGCAGGTTTCACTGAAGCAAAGTTGTAGTGAAGAAGCCTAGTATTAAATCCTGAACAGTCCTGCTACAGCAAAGCTCTTCATTGGCTCAACTGGTAGTGTTCAAGTCTGCGCTGGGTGGTTTGCAGAATGTGTCCRGAGCAAATGTGGCACTGCATGGAGGCCATGCTGAAGTTGGCTAATTTTATTCCAGTGTCTGCACATGCAGCATACGTGTGTGACGTGAAAAAAAAAAAAAGCAAGCAATAAGTGTTCCTACAGTCTCTAACCTCAGCAAAACACTCCCCTTTTAGCCTCCCAACCAGCATAAACTGCTTCCACATGTGCTCTGCCATCAAACATGCCTGGAAATCCTGTGTCTACTTTAAAGGCACCCAACTTCTTAAGAGAAATTCTCTCCCAGATAAAAACCTCAAATTCTTGTAAGGAAAGATGGGGGCAAAGCTGGAAACTTTCCATTTTCCAGTTAATACAAATTTCTTATGTYTAATTTTGGTATTAAGGAAAAAAAGAGGACACCATCAATTAGACAATCAAATTACCACTTTCTCCCCAGTTCCTCAGCCTGAAGTCAGACATGCCCCTACCACTGTGTGGCTCTCATAAACTGTTGTGCTGAGGGCGCGTCCCTGAGTGGGTCCCCAAGTGCCATAGAGCTTCAGGAGTGTCCCTGAGCAGGAGCTGATCCCCAAGGGTCATAAGGCCTGAAGGTGCCTCAGTCCCAGCACAGGCTCCCCTGAGCTGTTGTGCCTCAGGGGTGCCYTGTCCCTGTACAGGACCCCACAGGTCACAGTGCCTCGCAGCTCCCTTGCCCCAGAGTCCCTGCAGCTCTATCCCTCTGGCACATACATATCCCCCTTCCTTCTACACACCCACCCACCTGCCCTCAAGCTCAGTCACAACACTTGGTGTTTGCTGGTCTCCTTAAGTACCCTTGTGTGGGTGGGTCTGGGAGCCGTCACCCAGCAGGCTGGAACTGGCTGTGGTGGGTCTGTGGCRGGTGAGCGTGGCTGCCCTGAGGAGGCTGCAGGGTAGCCAGCTTGGAGAGCTGGGGTAGGGCAGTCTCTCCAGGAAGGGACCAGCTGCAGGTCTGCAGAGCTGGGCTGTGCTTGGGAAAAGTTAATTTGCTTTGGCTCAATCTGGCCCRCTGTGGGGATGTTTGGGTGCTGCCTGCATGAAGGTTGAAGCTGAGTCTGAACTGCAGCCTTCAGCCTGCCTGGTGCCCTGTGTACCTCCTTCCATAGTGTTGCCTGCATTGCTTTTGTAACCTTTTAATAAAGGCTGTGGTAGTGATGTCTGAGATGTGCAAAAGAACACAAATGAAAGTCTTGAAAGCCCTAGCTGAAAACTTTTATTAATTTCAATAAATAATGTAGAGGAGCATGTGTGTGTTCAAGGGAAATAACCTGCTTAAGATTTATCAAAGTGGCCTATGAGAGGCCCGGGATTTTTGTTACTGCAATATGCCAAGCCAGTGTACCTCTGACACATTGATTCTTTAATTGGAGTGGGGGCCAGATGAGGTAAAAAAATGTATATTTTAAAATCGTGCCCTTATGGGGACTTCAGAGAAGAGGGGTTGAGCTGGCAGCAGACATTTCAAGGCAGCCGCTAGGTCAGTTGTGAGGGGGAGGACACCAGTGATGCGAATGCAGCTGCTGTTCCCGTGTAAATGGCCCCAATATAACACTTGGCTGGCAGGGTCACATAATACACCTGCAGGAGGGCAGGGCATATGCAACTCACAAGCGGCTGGGTAAATACATCTTTTTTTAAGGAACAAATATTGGTATATTCACAACACTTAGCTTGAAAGCTGATTTTCTGAAACGAGGTCTTTGAAACCTGCCATTTGCTTTGCTCCTGCCACAGAGCTTGGAGAAGAAACCACCTGAGATTTTGCCACAGTGAAACACTGACTTGATCTCTTGTGTCAGCGTGAAACTCCCATCTCCCCTCCGCCAGCTGCACAAACGCAGCGCGTTTGCGGTGCAAAGTGCCAGCTTTCACGTGCTGGTGTCAAGGAGGCGACACAATGAGGAATAAGGATTTTTATATGTGTTTTGTAAGTCAGTGTTACAAGTGGTGTATATAGTGGGTGTGGTGAGCCTGAGAAACGATTTGGGCCTGGTTTACAGGGCACCTAAGTGAGCGGCGTGGGATGGGCTGGAGGGCAGTGGAAACGAGCAGAGCAGCCGCTGTGTTGGGCTTGGTGTGGACGAAGGAAGGGTCTTGGGGCCAGACCTTCTGGCTGAACCATGCCTGCCCCAGCCCTACTGCAGTGTTTCATCCAGTCTGKGCTTTTCATCTGGCCAGAGATACTTGCTGAGGACCTCTCGTAAACACTGCTGGCTTGTTTCAAAGCTACCCGGTGCACTGAAGCTCCCATAAGACCCGGCTATAAATTCAAAACCTCACACCAAATTTATTAATAAACTTCTCACATTCCAAGTATAAAATGGGCGTCTTGTGGTGCACCTCTGCTGTATCCATTGGCGGTGCTCAAAAAGACACTCAGTTAAAATAGCCAAGGCTGAGCTGTGTTGCTGCCCTCAATAACAGCATTTTTGAATAGTTTGTTTCTGTTTTCATATGAGTGACTCCCCAGGAGTCAGATAACAAGGTAAGAGTGCTCCAAAGTGTTGATTGTGTTAATGCAGTATATTGTCCATGTACACCTGAGAGGTAACAAGTATTTTAGGCTTATGTATCCTTGGAAGCCTGGACTCGTTATATTCACATATATATTATACATATATATGAAAGTGGTGGCTGTGTACACTCAGCTGGGAATACTGTTACTAAATCCAGAGCAACTGCTAATAAATATGCAATATTTGAACACTACTTCAGTCCAGCTAAAAATAATATAAAAATGAAAAGATTTGCTTGTACAGGAAAAGTAGTTGAATTATGAGTTTTGCCTACCTTGGTTGCACCTGCCCTTGGCAGTACAAAACATCGGCTCCTTCAAACAAGTATTTAAACTTAGAAGCTTGAGGAATTGTTGTGATGAGCACTGTGGCAGTTAACTGTTTGAGGAACAGATCCAGTTCTATAGCAAATAAAGTTAAGTGAATGAAGAGATCTAAAAAGCTATCCTAAAAAGAGGATATCTTCATATCGTCTCTGTGATATATCTGTCTCTGTCTCATATCTGTGATAGTTGTTCCCATTATATAGGGAGGCATAGAGATGCACTGCCGTAAGGACATATCTGACAGTGATTCTGGAAGCCACAAACATGTATCTTTATCCTCACAGACCTGGTATAAATTCCAGTGTGGTTAGAACTGCATGTGATGCCAGAAGTTAGCCTAATTAGCACAGAAACAACCAGCTAAGGAAGGAACTCGTTACCAGCTTTGAACATAAGGAATTTGAGCATGCAGAAAGGTAAGAAGAGATGGAACTCAGCTGGAGAAAATGATTAMCATTTCTAGAACTTCCTAGGGCAGYAGGCCAGAGTCCTTTTTCAGTAKWGCTTCTTCCTCCATTGCACAGGAAATCACTCCAGGTATCACCTAGAATTTCCTTAGAGAGCAATTTCACAGTTTTGCAAAAAAGTTTGTCACTGAGGGAAGACACGACACTGCTGTTATAACCCCACAGGTCATTTGAAAACCTGATTGCATTTTTTAGATGTTTAGACTTTTCTTGCTAATGCAGTATGTGTCTCAACTGCATTATATTGTCTTAACAATGCTTTYGATTGTGCCATATGAAATAAGCATTTGAATATTCACAGTTTCCATAGAGTAATAATTGCAGAGCTTAAATGGCTTTGAAAGAGTCACCTTTTCTCTCTTCTAGACTGCTTTTTTCTCTCCTCTCTGATCAGTATAAACAAATCTCCTTTCTATTTTATCTTTGCAGCCAGTTGCTTGGAGATGTTTATCTTTGGCCCTTCTACATCCAGACTAGCAGTCAGCTGTGACATAACCATGACTGGGAGGACTTGCGATGAACTTCTGAGGAAGCTGCTGCTCAGGACATGAAAGGTAGCAAACGTCAGCTCTTCTTAAGATTAGGATCAATGATTTCTCAACATATCCAAACATTTTCATTAAAAGAATACGCACATTGCTTGTCAAAGCTGGTTTCTGGGAACGGGAAGTGAAGTTTTTCTCTTATCTACCTGRATTTTCCTACATAGATGATGTGTCTGTCTTCAGTCAGAAGAAAGTGGCATGTTATTTAACATGCATCTAAAATGTACAACACTCATCTGTGATTCAAATTAGATAACAGACCATAATACACAGGGTTACAGAGAGGTCAAAAGGAGCTCTTGGTTTCAAAATGTGAAGGATGAATGTAAATTTTAATCATTATGTTCCCTGAAAGATGATAATCGGGGTTTTCTATAGGAMGAACGATTAAAGACTCCTGAATTGTTGCTCTGTTATGAAGGAGTTGAACTTTGTCTGACCTTTCCAACAGCAGCTAAAATCTATTGGATATGGTAAGTGCATTCCTCTTTTTGCAGCTGTTGTTGAGAAAAAGCAGAATTAAGGATGTTCCCAATGTGGATGGCATGCTATAGTGGATATTCTTGGCTGTGTCAGGGATAATTTTTCTATTTCCCCATATAAAATCAGTTTGATTTTACAAAAAAAAAAAAAAAAAAAAAAAAAAAGGAAAAAGGAAAAAGAAAACGAATGGCCTTAAAACGATCTAGCATATTAAAAACAAAATCTCAAAATTTTAAAACAAACTTTCGGAAACTGTTATTTCAGAGCTAGAACACCTGCCATTGAAATGTGCTGGTGAAGGGCACCTGAATCTTCTGTTTGAAATATCTCTAGCTCAGTGCATTTCTGTATTACCATATCCTTATATATTATATTCTTCTTACACTCAGAAGAAACCTGTCTGTCTGCACAAGCACACACATGCAAATGTGTAACATTTTCCAGAAAAGTCTGGGGATACTGTGAAACGTGAGGCAGGATTTATTGGTCTGAATGAGTGTGTATTTTATGCTAGCTAGTCACCCTGGTCTCCCTTTATAGTCAGTGGAGGGAAGCAGACATTGCTCAAGTGGAATTCATCTCCTGATGAAGCAGATGTCTGAACTGGGTCACGAACCTCGTTCTGCCATTAGTTTCAAACACAACTTTTGGAAGCCTAACTTAGAAGGAGGGAGCTATGTGGTAGACATCTAAAGATGGATGAGATGAGCATGRGTCAGCATTGTGTCTTTATAAGCAAGGCAGCCAGCACTACTCTGGACTGTATTACCACATGTTCAGCCAGAAGGTCYTGGGGAGTAATTACTGGCCCTGCTTTTGAGCRGGAGGCTGGACTAGATGACCTCCTCAAGGCCCTTCCAACCTGAATTACACTGTGATCCTGTTCTCCTTTCAGGACTTGTGAGAATTCATCTGAATTACCATTCCTGTTTCGGACTCCATTTGGGCTCCACAAAGTTTCAGTGGAGMGCATGAAGGTGGTTGGGGCTGGAGCACAGGGCTAGAGCACACGCGATACGGCTGAGAGCCTGAGGGAGAGGGGTTTGTTCAACCTCAAGATAAGAAGGCCAGGGCGGGGTCCTGTGCCTGTCCCTAGCTAGCTGGAGGAGGTGGATGCAGAGCCAGACTCAGAGATGCCCAGTGAAAGGAACAAAGACAGTGGACACAAGATGAAGCATGAGAAATTGCACTTAGCCCTAGGGGATTATTTTTTCAAACACGAAATTTCAGACCCTGGCACAGCTTGCACAGAGGTTGGGGATACCAAGCAATCTGTTCTAGGTTCTCCATGCTTTGACCAGGCAGAGGACCCATCTAATCAGTATTATTATATGAATCTTACCATGCTGATTTAATCCTGGGGAAAGACTGCCTATTATTAGGAGAACTTCCCACCCACTCTTTATATATATCAAAAATATAAAGTCTGGCAATTTCATCTCTCCTTCTCTGGACCCTAAGTTATTTTCTTTTCCATCTTCTTACTCTTTTCTTTCTCTTAAATACTTTTACCTCCTGTAATTTAGTACTAGGCAGCTATCCTCTCCTTTACTGTTTGTTTTCAAAGGATGTATTCTCAACATGTATAATGTGCACAATCAGTGCAACTAGCTTGGCCTCTCTGTGTAAAAAAGGAAAGTGTCAAGGATACAGCCCATTTTGATGATTCTTAGATGCCWGTTGCACATCCCTGCTGTACTTGAACAAACCTCCAAGAGAGAGGTTTAACATTGGCATAACCAAAGGCACTGTGATGTGTGGGGTGGGTGTATGGGAAACATACATTTTCAGAGAATCACAGAATGGTTAAGGTTGGAAGGGACCTCTAGAGATCATCTAATCCAACCCCCTGCTCAAGTAGGGACCACCAATTTTTATCTCTCTTCCAATCTTCAAGTTTGGAAGCAGTTGATTGATTGATTTACCCTCAATACTTCCATGTAAAATGAAGCTAGTAAAAGGAATAGTCGGATGAAAAGTCCAAGACAACTTGAACCTACCTGAGGTTTGAACCGTTAGTCTGCTGCACACACAGGACCTTCCCATGCCACACGAACAGCTAGGTACATCCACCTTCCTTGTTCACGTCTTAGTAGGTCTGCTTGCCATGACAACTAGATCAACATTCAAAGTACAAAGTGTTTTAAAACTGTTAAACATCCTGTTTTTTATTTGCATATTTTTCATTTGCATGGTTGTCACATATGCAAAATGTAGTAATGAGCTTATCAGCCCTAGTGTTTGTCTCAGGCAGATCTGGCTGTGAAGTTTGGGAGCTCAGAGGTAGGATGATTTTAAAGACTAGCTGAGTCTAAACCTATTTCTATCATGTAGGATAAGGAAATCATACCAGTTCCAGTTTTATCACTTATTTCTATTATCAGTATTTGGTAGTGTTTGGATTGTAGTCCTAATTTCTGGAGACAAATAATGACCTCAGAAGCTTAAGTTTGTTTTTTTTATTATAAATAAATAAATAAGCCTTGCTCTTGCAGAAATTGTGAAGGGACTTAGAGGTGACTAGTGACAGGACAAGGCATAATGGGTGCAAACTAAAACACAGGAAGTTCCCTCTCCATGTGAGGAAGAACGTCTTCACCATGAGGGTGACAGAGCCCTGGAACAGGCTGTCCAGGGGGGTTGTGGAGTCTCCTTCTCTGGAGATGTTCAAAACTTACCTGGATGCTGCCCTGTGCCGCATGCTGTAGGTGTGCCTGCTGGAGCAGGGGGTTGGACTAGATGATCTCTAGAGGTTCCTTCCAACCTTAACCATTCTCTGATTCTGTGATTCTGTGTGATTAAAGAGCTAAATTCCCCCTGAATTATCTTTTCTTTAAAATAAGACCTTTTTTCCGTGTATTTTTTTCCTAACTTGAATGTGATTTTAATAAAAGCCATCAGTGAGCCCAGAACCAAAAGGCAAAACCCAAATAATGAAAAGTATCTCAAAAATCAGAATTTACAATATTTTATCTTTATTAATGATTTACATATTCATGATGGCACCTTGTGTTTGAGGACAGGATCAAAAGTGCCAGTTGTTTGGAGTTAGTTCCCAAATTCTGAAGCAGAAGAGAGCTGAGTGAATTGCTGGTCTGATATGTGTCAGTGSTATTTAGATTAGTGAATTTAACTGTACGAGGCTTTTGCAATCCTCATCACATAAAAGCAAAACAAGTCCTGAAGCATTTAAAATAAGAAAAACACAGTTTACTTCTAAGTGACCCTCTTCAAAAATATTATTTTCCTGCCCTCCCAGCAACAGCAAGTTACAGATATTTAACAGAAGACAACATAAAGTGAAGCAATAAGGACATCAAACTGTACATGACGTATTTCACTTTGTATATGACAGGTGGGGAACATGATGGGACGTGCAGCCACCCTTCTCTCCTTTCATCCTACAGGCACTTCCAGGAACAGTGACTCTTCCTGTATTACAAACATAGTGTCCTTGCTTCAGAAGAAAGCATGTGGGAACAGGGAAAACAGAAAGCAAAGAACAGGAAAAAAAAAAAAAAAAAANAAAAAAAAAAAAAAAAAAAAAAACCAAAGCAAAGAACAGGGTTATGTGTGTGGGGCCTGTGACAAGGTAGGGGAGCAAAACCTGGACTCCTGAGAACTGAGGAGCAGGGGCCACGAGGTCAGGGCAGGACACTCAGTTCAGATTTGCCACCACTCAGAGCCACGCTGGCAGGGCCCTGTAGGAGCAAGCGGGTGTCTGCTGTGGCTTGGACATTTTCTGCCATCACTTAGTCTGTGTTAGCCAATGCCACAACCCTCTTTCTCCCTCAGTTCTTTTACCCTGCTGGTGACAGTGACTGGTGGCCTGTGGGGAACCCGCGGCATCTTCCTCTGGATGCACCACGCTGGAGTCAGCAACCGTTAACTCTGTTGTTGCAATTTATAAATCAAGCTTCCTCCTTTTGTTCATTGATKACCGTCAATGGAGAAACTGTATTAAATATCCCCTGCTGTGTGATGAGGAGTTTATAGAGTGCTCATGCAAGCAAGTGCCCTGTGGCTTGCTGTAGGCCCTCGTTCTGCAACATTTCTGCCAAGGGCCATGCCTTTGCTGGAGGGCATCTTCATGGCAATAACAGTGAAACAGACAGGGCTTTAATATCCTCTGGAAAATTGCTTTTGGYGCATTGTAGAGAAAAGTTTTTAAAGGTATGAGCAAAACAGAAGGAATGAAATGCAGAACTCAAACAGATCACCAAGTTTTCCTCTGTGTTGTCATCCTCTGTATTCAAGTTCCAGTCTGCACTGGGATTGATGCTACCCACAAAGTTTTGGGGATCTCCTAAGTTTATCAGACTATCACTGAATAGTACAAATAGATGAAAGCTCCTGGTTATATGAATARCAGAAGTTTGATTATTTGTTAAGCCTCTGTTTCTAGAAAGGAGTAGAGATAACAGCCTTTCTTGAAGCTTATTTTATGCTAGTTTTGAAGCATTTTATCTGACATGATGGTGCTGTCTGACTGGAATACAACTTGAGTCTTCTATTTCTTAACAGCTTCAAGGAAGGGGTCATGAAATAATAAGTAGTCTAGTCGCTGTGGGAAGGGAGCAGGAGAGTAAAGAGCTGGAGTACTAGATATGGAGCCGTAAAAAGAAGAGTGTATTTCTTTCAGGCAAGGGAATTTGTTCTTTTATTATATCCTCCAGCACTGCCTTGTTGTGTGACTGAGCAAAAGAGTCTACGAGCCAGGAGTCACTCACCAGCACATTGCTAACTTTGGAGCTCACCTGGATTACTCAACAAGTCCACACCAAATCTTATCTTCAGAGCCAAGGTAGACATCAAGGATATGATCAGTAGGACCTTGTCCCTTGTCCATCACAAGCTTTAAGCAGAATCTGGGATCTCTACTGTGCGTGTCCAGACAGGGCTGGCATCTAACAACATGGTTGATTTCTTCCTGGAGGAAAGGRGTTAAACTGAGATGACATAATTGGCTGCTGTTGCCCATGATCTTGGGAGAACCTATTTTGTGATTAAAGTAAAAAATTCTTGCTGTGTCTCTGTGTCCTGCAAATAATGCAAAGGATGCTCATTTAACTGGGAAGCCACCCACTAAATCTCAAAAATCTCTCTGCTAAAGCTCCATCTCTGCTCACAGTGAAGAAGCTGGAGTATCTTGATGGTTCCTTACATTGAGTAACACATCTGACGCAACACAGAGAAATGTGCTATATCCAACCTATTGGAATTGAGGCTGGACTACAGATAGAGGGATAAGGGAAATTTCCTAAAATTTCTACTGGGCATTGGCTTGTCAGGCTACCCAGGTCACTACTCAGAGAAAAAGCTGGTTTTGTCTCAAGCTGTCAAAGCCCAGAAATTTGTGAGTTACTCCAATCCACCCTTAAAACCTAGTGCTAGATTCCAGTGTCCTTGTTGGTGACAATCTACTTTACCTTTTCTAGAAAAAAAAAAAAAAAAACAGAAAACAGCAGCAGCAAAAGAACTCCCCATCCGTGAAGCACATTTCTGTATAAACGGATTTAAACTGGTTTATACTGGTCCTGCTGAAAGGAAAGAAGCAGGGCCGTCTATACAGCCACCCTTCAGGACTTGTCCCTTTTTTCCTTCTTTCCATGCTGAGACTCAAGCAACATTTCACCCTGAAAGACTAAGCCCTTGCCTAAGCTAAGGTCTTTTTACAGTGTTTAGAGCTATGTATTGTGTGCTGTGCAGTGTATGGAACTTTGTGTGTGATTGCTTTAGGAAATGAGGATTTTTTTTCTTTTTTTTTTTTCCTGATTTGATAGAGTCCCAGAAGCAGTTTTTTCCTTTGGAGAGATGCTGAATGTGCTTGGGTTCTCAGGAAAAAAAATGTATTAGTTTTTGGCTGCAACATATTAAGAAAAAAAAAACAAACTTTTTTTCTTCTATGAACTGTGACCTCTTAAATGAAACAGCTCTAGATTTTATAAGGGGAGTGCATGCTGGAGGAAAAGAATAGCACTCTGGTTTCACTTAGCATTCTGCTAGAAATTTGGTTGATTCATTAAATTTCAGATATCTGTTTGGATTTGAGGTTTTCTCACATATGTAGATGCAGTGCTAACCAGCGCTTGGAGAGCACTAAGGGATAAGGCATCACAAAGTAAAGAAATACAGCTCCTAAGAAACAAGTAGTGTCACTGGGCATTGCACATGTTGGTACTACCAGGGAATAGGCTGACCATCCTATTTGCCAATTTTTTAAGTAGGAGTCATCACTTTTCTGACCCTGGAGCCTGTTCCCATTGCAGCAGGAAAAGTTCAGCAGCTTCACTGAAGTGATGGCTTCACTCCTTCCTCTGCGTGATGCTTTTGCTCCAGTTTTGCTTTTATCCCTCCAATACCCAGCCAAGAGGAGTTGCCCTTTTCCAGGGAGAGACCAAAGGAAGGATGTAGGAAGGATGGGAAAAGGGCATCCTTCCTCCATCCCCTGCCCAGACCCTGCTGCCTCAAACTGCTTGAATTTTGCTGAACATAGACTGGGGTGCACGAGTGATTCAGGGCTGGAGGAGAATTAATTGCCAGGCAGATATGAGGCAGACTTGGGGGTGATAAAGCCTTTCTTTCCTGCTCTTGCCACCGAGTGCTTGGTTTGGGCACAGTTTAGTCACCCTTCAAGGTRGTGCTTAAAGCTTCTTGTTGTATCATTCCAGGTTATCAGAGATGCTTAAACTGGTTAACCTGGTTCACTGATGAAATGGGACACATGCCCTTTATCTTCATGTGACACTCATTGATAGTGACACGGTAAGAAAGCAAGGTAATCTGGAATATCTTCATAGTTATTTCTCCTTTTGTTTCTTTTTTTTTCTTTAATTTTTCTTATATGTGAGCATGAACTCTTCAGCATTGTGTCCTCCTTGCATTTACATGGTTATCAGTTGCAACTGTAGTTGCCCTGATATTTCCCTTCTAATGAAAAGTTGTATCTGTGTAATGCCATGGGTCTAGCACTGATAATGGCGTTAGAATTTGGCTTGGAAGAAAAAGAAAAAATAAAAATAAATGAAATAATAGCGTTTTCTAGAGAGGAAAATAATCATGTTGCTAAGTCTCAGGAAAAACTCGAGATCTTCATGAAAGCAGGGCAAGATGCAGAACCTTCCTGCTGACCTGAGTGAGAGAAAGGCATTTTGGATGACAGAGCCTTCTGTAGGACTAAAATTCACCAGACACATTATTGATAAGCACCAGAAGTCATTATGTGAAACTTGGAATTTTTGAGACAGTGAGAGCAGGATGAATCAGTGGAGCTTCTTTTTTTCTTCAAAAAATAAATTGATTGAGATTGGGTAGCACTAGGATTTCTGCTATAGACTATAGTTTACTCTGTCAACGGTAAACGTTCGGTCAGACTAGAAGGAAATATCTGAAGGTAGGAAGTAATCTATGGCTTTTCCTCAATGATAAGATATCAGACCTTGTCACTTTATGCTATTACTGTCTGTTTTTCTGTTGAAAAACTACAGTGAACTGTAACCAGATGGGCCTGTTCAGAAGAAATACAGCAAGGATTCGCTAAATATGTTTTGGATTAGCCTTGACTAAATGACAGATGCTTACATTTCCTCTGCAAAAATATTTGGCAGAATACGTTAACTGTAGAATTGTTTACTGAAAGACTGACTTTTAAGCAGTGGCTATAAATCATTCACAGAAAGTGATTTTTTGAGCCGTTGTCATGAATATGGAGCAGGAAATACGAACCTGACAACGACTGTTACCAAGTCAGAGATCACAGATACGCTGCTTGATGTGTATCCTCAGTCTGAGATTGTGTCTGTTGAATATAAAGAACTATATATAAAGAAGTGTTTTTGGAGAATATATAGCAAATATTAAAAAAAAAAAAAGTATATTAAAAACCACAAGCAGTTTTTCCTTCTGTCTTAAAGATCTCTGAAGCACCGTGTGAAACCCACCTCTTGCTCACTATTACATGGAAAGCTGGACCATGATTTCCTATATTCCAGCGTGAAGCCACAGTGCTGCTTCACTTCTGAACCCCAGTAATCTTGGATCTCTATGAGCTGCTGRTTTCTGTGATTCGGAGTTTGCCTTTGATGGAGCACGGGTGCTATCATTAAACTGTTGCAGCAGGGCTTATCTCCTTCTGCACATTTATCAGGCAGCTGTCAGGGAATGCACAGACCTACAGACAAACACCTCATCACAGAAAATAAAACAGCATATCCACGGCAGTGCACACTATGACTCTGCAGGTAACCGTCCCTGTTTGCTAAAGCACATATATGTATGAGATCCATGTATGGATCTCAGTGGAATTTAACAGAGCAATTAAGTCCAGTTGCTGAATGAGCAGGGTTTAAATGACTGAATCTAGATTATTTTAAATTGCTTGATAGGTCATATTTTGGTATTAATGCACAAATATGCCCTACTCTTTCTGTCTTAATGCTTTGCCTCAGGAAYGATCATAACATAGGCATGGAGGTGCACTTCTGCAATATATGTAAGCTATTTTCTTAAAATAATTGAAGTCCTAAAAGTAGAAAAGGAAAAAATCAAAGTATCACTAGTCCAAAGCTATGGAATAAAACTACAGATACATAGTGGATGATTCCATCTTCCTGAACTATTTAAAAATATGAAATGGTACTTCAGGATTGGAAATGTTTGCATTAACAGATGCCAGTTTCTATAGCTTGTGCACTTAGGGCCACTTGCACAAACTCCTGGAGCTCTGACTTCTTGTAACAGAGGTACAAGGAAATATGAGTGGTTTAATCAGAGTGGCATAGACCATTTATAGCCTAGGCTGGATTGGAAGCTCTATTTTCCTGTGGTCCAATAAGTGGCCAAGCCACCTGTCCAGCCCAGTGTCCTTGAGCTGCGCTGTAATTCCCAGCACTGTCACCCCCATCTGCAAGAAATCAGAAACTGCTGAGATTTTTCTAATTCTGGGGGCTACCCCAAGCTCAGACCTGCCTTTGCCGCCACAGCACCTTGGCAGCAAAAGCCCCATCTCCTGCCATCCGGAGAACAGGGCAGGCACCTTCTGTTTTCACATGTTACTGCTGAAGGACTTGACTGGGAGTTTTTTTCTCAGCAGAGGAGCCATCTCAGAGATGCTGGTGGCCACCACGCTGTGCTTGGGTAGCAAGAGACTTGCAAGAGACTTGCTGGCCCGGCACCCAGTCGCACACCCAAAGGAAGGGCTGAAGTCTCTTCCTCCACCCAGGATTTGGGGATACTTGAGGATACTTCTGGCAAACCTCTAGCAGGACCCRATGGCAGCTGGCAGGGTCTTCACCCTTTGGCTTCTCTGTGGCTGGGGGATCACCAAGGGTCTGAAGACTCTGGATATGGGCGGGCGGAGAGACAGGGAAAGACAGCAGGGTGGAAGAGGAAAGATGCATTTTTTGCCTGCTAACTCCTGCATGAAAACAGCTGGGACAGATCCTTTTTTATTCACTCTGTAAAAAGGGGTGATTTGGCTGGTGCTTTTGAAAGTTGTATAGGTTGTGCTGAGTTTTAGCACTTCTTTYTTCCTTTCAGCCAGAGGAGCAGTGCCTGTCCTACAAAAGAGGCTTTAGCAGAGATGAAGAGTTGCCTCCGAGAGGGTCTGTTYAGAAGACAAGCAGTTATTTAGAAGCAGACCAGCCCTGCAGCCTGACATGCTGTTACTGGCTCTCGCTCCACTATGGTATTTTAGACAATTACAGCCCAAGACTGCACCTTTTTGCACTTACATACTTGCTTGAAAAAACAAACCTTTATTCTCACATAATGGGTAATTCCCTGTCCAAGCATCTAATACATACACGTACACTGACTGCAGGCAGAACGTGCACAGAGGCCATCCCATAAAAATGAGGGATCCCAGAAACATGCTGAATGAATTTCCACTGTACGTGTTGTCCTGTAATTCCACTCCCAGCAGTGTGTGYTTGGAGTTCCTGAAAAAGCTCCGAGGCTGGAGGGGGAAAAGAATAAAAAGAGTATCAAAGGGAGAGCCGTGTGGTGTTGATCAGCTGGAAAGCCATCTTGTTAATTGCTTGCAGGATGCATTCCAGGTTAYTGCAAGCCAAGAGGCTGCAGGGTGTGTTGGGCTGAACTGAAAATTACCGTGCTTTCTCCTCTTCTTGCATTACTTGACTGATGGGAGCCCAGCGTCCCCCCGGGCACTTGCGGGAGTGAGGATCTGGTGTGCAGCACTGCAGGGAGTGCTGCTGCTCGGGCTTTGATCGGCCTCTGTTGTTGAAAGGAGATTTTTCATCTCGGCAGACTCAAAACGGAGATGGCCTCTTCAAGGCTATTGCCACAGGACTTGTCTCCCCTCCCATTGCCCCCCAACAAAAGATGAACAAAAGCAAATGACCAGCCAAATTACGCTTTGTTTCTATTGAGTAGGGTGCTAAGAGTCATTCTAATAGTCATTATTACTGAATCTGAAAGGCGTCATGCTGGGCTGATTTCAGAAGAGCTCCTGATTAGTATTTTCTGATGTGAATATCAAAGTTGACTTTCAATTACCGCCAATGACCTTAGAAAAATATTTAACATCTAAAGTTCATACCACCAAAGCTTTGTGATCGAAGCAAGCTCAGTAAATATTCAAGAACAAGTAGAGAGAACCTGCCCTGTCATGTGTAAATCGTGGTGTGTGTGCTCTTTGCTGAATGCTTTTTTTTTTTTCATCAGTGCTGTCAGCCTTGGTCCACACTCCGCTCCTTGCTACAAAACTGAACCGATGGATGCAGCAATTCAGATTTTCCTGTGSTGGATGAACCAGGTTTGAGGATTCTATGACTGTGAGGGGAAGAGAAGGTTAAGAGGGGATCTGATCAATATGTATAAACACCTGAAGARTGACTGTAGGGAGGAAGGGACCAGACTCTTCTCAGTGGTGGCCAGTGACAGGACGAGGGGTAATGGATGTAAGTTGCAACACAGGCAGTTCCATCTSCATGTGAGGAAGAACTTCTTTCCTGTGAGGGTGGCAGAGCCCTGGAACAGGCTGCCCAGGGAGGTCGTGGAGTCTCTTTCTCTGGAGATCTTCCAAACCCACCTGGATGCCACCCTGTGCCTCATGCTTTAGGTGTCCCTGCTGGAGCAGGGGGTTGGACTAGATGATCTCGAGAGGTCCCTTCCAACCTCAACCCTTCTGTGATTCTGTGAAAAATGTGCCAGCAAGGCTTGTTCTGCAGAGCTGAGTGGAGATTAGCTGCAGTGCTGTCTGTGACTAGGAATCATGCATCCCTGCAGGTTGTCAGATTCGGTACTGACGTAGCAGGCCTAAAGCTGAAGTGATGCTGGGGAGCCAGGAGATCCCWGACATTTCATCAAGTGAGGGGAATGGGCCCTGCGGATACCCCGGCTCATCTTGGCATCAGTTCACTCTTCTCTGTGAAACTCCTTATCATCCCAATTCACTTGAGGCAGTAGGGAATATTCCTGGAATTGCTTCTTGAGTGGTCGTTTCTGCCTCCTGTTTGAAGTTCATTGTCCTTAAATTAAGCTGTGCTTCCACATCAGTGTGGGAGCAGAGGAAATTAGTGCCTTCCTGGATGTCCCTGGCATGCCAAGAATGGGAACAATTTGCTGGTCCTCTGCTACTGTCTCTGGCATTTCTGGGAACCGTTTTCACCATGTCTGTGGATTCACAGGGCACATGTTGCAGTTGAGATGTAATGGATTCATCATATTGAACAAATCATTTAGCCATTGAGTTGACACTTGGTCGCAGACATAAAAAGTATAACTCCCCATTTCATCAGGTAGCCAGACACTTTGATGGATGGAGATTGCACGGTGATTCACTGGGGCTGGCAGACTGCTATGCCAGGTGTTACACAGTGGAGACTTCTCCAATTAAACTTGATCCCAGGGATACTTGTATTTGATCCCAGGTGGGGCACTCATAACTGAGCCAAGAATCCTAATGTTTTACAGCAGACTGGCCTTCCACACCGTGTCCGGTACCTCCCTGGGGGATTCAGGCCAGAGGGCACTGCCACAGGTACACGGATTTCCTCTTGTTCTCTGGACATTGATGAAATTGTAGGTCACACTGGRATCCCTGGCAAGTCACACAGTGACAGAACTACAGAAGGGTAAAAGCTGAGAGCAGGGATGAGCCACAGCACAACAGGCAAGGAAACAACGGGCAAAGAAAGTTTTGGACCAAGGAACAGACAAGTGTCACCCTGACCCCGAGGTTTCTCACTGTGAGTATTACCAAATACTCCGATCTAGTGGCTGTCACTGTTAAGGTTTTTCCCTTGTAACATCAGGGAACTTGCAGTAAGTGGGCACAGGGGGTTAGTGTTGGGCTACCTGTCAGTCTTCAGTCAGCCCCACCAAAATGGGTTTCTGTCTTGAAAAAGAGATAGCAATCCCGGCCTGACCCTGGCTCGCTGTCATTAAAATTCCTTGGGAACTCCGGCCCAGCCGGTGGTAGATCCCAAGTGCTGCTGGTGAGGTCATGTCTGCAGCGAGCCCGTGACAATAACTGGCATTATGGGCCCTGCTTGCTCTCTGAAGACGCGCCAGTGTTGCAGCAGAATGAGGCCATGAGCAATAGAGATGCCATCTCTTTGGGGGTTTATGGTTTTATTAGCCTGAAGTTGTTAGTCTGCTGTTTCCAATTGCCTTGTTCCGAAGAAATGCTCATACATCATGAATTGCTGAGCTTTGTGTTTTGCAGTATTAATGAACGGAAAATAAATCCTTGTAAATAAGTACAAAGAAGAGTTTAACATATTAAGTGCTTGCATCCAGCATGTTTTGTGAGTGTGTGTTGCTATAATTTGCAGTGGGGTTTCCACAGTGTTTCTGTCATTTCACAGTGTGATGCCAGGAGCCTTACAAATTTTTGCTTTCAGTAGCACAAGGGTTTGAAAAGCACCTGATCAGCCTTTCTTCAGAGGTCAGCTGAGTTTCAGCAACCCCCAACAGGGGTTGGATGCAAAGCAGGTTTAGGGGTTAGACCTGGCTCTAGCATAAGCACTGTCCTTCCTTCCTTCCTTCCTTCCTTCCTTCCTTCCTTCCTTCCTTCCTTCCTTCCTTCCTTCCTTCCTTCCTTCCTTCCTTCCTTCCTTCC